GTCATTATCTAATTTATGTTACAATTACTCACCTAAAATTACTAATACGATCTTAAATGAGAAAATGTTAAAATTAATCATGAATTTTGAATACCATAATTCAGCCTCTTTTATGTTTGAAGACAATTGTGAAATAAGTGTCATCACAGCCTAACTTCTATTAAGGACTAATCATCTCAGAAGGAAAAATAACTTCAAGCTACTGAATAAACAAACCTCCATTAAAAATGGAGGATAGTATAGTTTGTAGAAAGAGAAAATGAATTTTTTAATAGAAGGGATGAATCGTGGTATTTGGAAGGTTGTGAATGAAGGTTTATTTGTTTCTACACACATATTTAATGGTTTTGTAGAAAACAAACTTGGAAAAAATTAGATCAAATATGATAAAGAAAATATGCATCACAGTTTGAAAGTGAAAGTTGTCATTACTACTGCTTTCGGTCTTGATGAGTTTTTGCGAGTTTTTCATTGCAAAACTGCAAAAAAAAAATGTTAGACACAATAATCCATGAGTATTAACTATTAATAATGAACGTAAAGAAAGAATTAGTCAAATGCAAACACGATTTACCCATATCGTGAATCATATGAGAACTCTGAGAAAAAAATTCCAATTGAATAATTGGTTATATAGATTCTTAGATTCCTAAACCAGAGTTGCCAACCTAAAGTCACTACGATCTATGAATCTACAAATTTAGCAACCATGGTAACGCACCTTCTTTGGTAAATTATAGGAACACGAGATGGAGCCGAAAAGACTTGTTGATAATGAAGAAGATAACAAAAAGAATAGGAAAAATATTGCACTTAAAGCTACTAGTTCCAAAAATATAGAATTAGAAGATGCAGACTGTCAAAGTGAGATTCTGGTTATTTAAGGGTTTGTATAATTGTTTGTGAGTAGTGATTGATTGTTTGCTAGAAATTATTCTTATTATATGTCCTAAACCTTCTAATTGTGAAATTTTGTTTTGTTGATGAAATTTGGTGTAATAGGATAATAATTAATTGTATGATTATGATGATGTATGTTGGTGTGAATTAATTTGTGTAGACCATGTGATTGTATGTTGTATTGGTAAATTATATGTGTTAGAATGTTGCTAATGAGGTATGTGAATAGGAGATGAAATCTAGAACCTGAAATATACATTGTGTGAGAGTTGGAGATGTTTGGGTATTGGAAAAAAGTGATTTTTGTGTCAAAAAGTAGCAGAAAAGTGATTATGCATCATATGTAACCCGTTACACCAGTAAGGTAACCGATTACATCATTCAAAAAATGGGGTTTTGGACAGTTTACATTGATGTAATCGGTTACCTCACGAATGCAACCGGTTACATGGAGTGAAACCTGCATAACAGTGACATGGTTACAGTGATGTAACCGATTATCTCATGTGATGTAATCGGTTACCCTGAAATTGGTATTTTTTTAAATCTTTAAAAATTCATATCTTGAGCTGTGAGTATCTGATTGACGCGTTGGAAAACTGGTGCAATGTACTTTAACTTAAAATGATTTTATGTATCAGAATTCAAATTATTTAATGTATGGTTATGTATTTGATGCATAATGTGTTTATGTTGTTTTGTGAAACTTGTGCAAATGTATTGTTATTGCTTTCTATTTCGTTGTGTGGATGTTTGCTGCATGTTTTGGCAGATGTTTGGTGCTTTGTGGCCAGTAGTGGCGAGGTACATTGACTATAGTGAAGGTTTTTGTGTGTGTTGTATGTATAATATATTGCATGAATTCACGGTGTTGGACGAAGGTCTGCGTTTGGGTAGCCTCAATCCCATTGTACGGATTGGGTGCGAGTAGCTAATTTCTATGGTAATGGATAAGTGAAGCGTTACTTGATAACGATTTTAGACAGAGGTCTGTTTGGTGAGCTTCGATCCTAGGTGGGGATTAGAACGGTGAACTTGAGAGTTCACATTTTGGTACCACATACATTGAGTCAAGTTGTTGAGTCTCATTGCATCATACTTGTGTGGTGTCGTTGTGTTGGTGGTGTGGAATGTGTTGTTGGAATGTATATTGCGCTTGTAATAATTTGTTGATCAATTATTATTATGCATTCATATATATAATTATGATATCTCACCCCTTCTGTTTAAATGTTACCTCTACGTAGATAACATGCAGATACTCATGAGTAGTTCAGCGTTGAAATGAGTGGAAGATAGAGTCTTCCTTTTGTTTTATAAAATCGTCGTCTGTTATAATGTGTAACACCGGGAGATAGAACATTTTTATGTTATTTATGTTTGTGGAAGATGATTTGAAATCTCTTGAATTGTTATTGTTATGTTTATTTTAAAAACCTGATTATGCTTTGAATTATCAAACAGTTAAATTGTTGATGTTTTCTGATGTAATAAAAGTTGAAGTTTCAAACATGTTTTATGGTTATAATTATTTTTAATAATTTTTTAAATAGTAAATGTTACATATTTGATTATATGAGTAGGTTTTGTTGAATTATGACATCTTAAATATTTATGTGTTAATTTTATTCCGGTGATTATTATAAAATACACGGAAAAATATTTAGAGTGTTACAATATACTTCTTTTTATTACTAATTTTTTTTTATAAAAGTGAAGAATTTTTTAAATATTATAATGATGAAGAATTTTGAGAGCTATTAATAAGAGAATTAAAGATTTTTACCAAAATAATTGAAAATTAGAACAATCTGGTTTAAAAAGGTGAGAATTTAAATAATATTGTAGAAGAATTATTTAATATATTTTCTTTAGCTAAAACTTTATATAGATATTACTCATTTTTGTTATATAAAACAAAAAATTAATGTAAAAATCTTTTTGAAAGTTAAATTATTATTATTATTATCATTATGAAGAAAATTTATAAAAATGAAGAGTTTTTTTAAATATTAAAATGAGGGTTATTAATAAAAAAAATTAAAGATTATATATTAAAATAATTGGAAATTAATAATAATAAGAGTTATAGAATAGGAAAAAAAATTGTAATTCGGCTATTTATATGATATTTTTATATTTATTACATCAACAAATTTAAATTATTATTATAATTGAAAATTATAATATAATATTACATCAATATTAAGATTAGAGTTGGATCATGTCAATATTAGGATTACAATTGTATCATCACAACAACCTTAAATTTATATTAACTGGATATGAAAATATAATTATTCAATTCATGTGTCACATTTAAAACCAATTATTTATCACATTTAAATTATTGCTTTTTTTTTTTATAATATTTGTTTAAAATAATAAATGTAAGAGTATTGCTTTTTAGATAACTACTGTACAATTTTTTAACTTACATAAGCATGCAGGCCCTACATGTGAACATCTTAAACATGCAAGCCCCTACACAGTTTTTTAAGTGTTTCTCATGAGACTATTTTGTATTCATTGTTGGCTAGGTAGTGAGTTCCTTGGAGTTGGTAACAAAGATTCATAAGTTTAGAACAAACAAGACATGATTTTTCACAAGATCCAAGAGCCTAGGGTGTGGACTCCTCCTATACTTCACAGACTATATATCATAGCGTTTCCTCTGCACCGACAGTATTATTAAATATTTTTCTTTAAAGAATGGCCGTTTTAAAAAAATAAATTTTAACTTTTGTCACTCCTATAATTTAACAACGATTTTTACGATGTAATTATGATTTTAACGACGGTTTTTATTTAACGACGGAATTAGAAATCGTTTTAACTATGATTTTATAAGGAGAAACTAAAAATTATAATTTAATTTTTTAGGGAGATCATTCATTAAAAAAAAATTAAAAGAAACTAAAAATGAAATTTAAAATATTTAGAAGGACCACAAACTTATATAATCTTATATAAATTTTAATTTAATTAATGAAACAATTTTATTCAGATTTACTCATTGAATTTAAAATATTTAATATTGATATTATTAAATCAGATATAATATCTCAAATTAAAATTCAAAATTTCATTTAGATTAACTTGTTGAATTTATAATATTTAATATTGATATTAGTAAATCAGATTTAGTATCTCAAATTAAAACTCTGACAATTGTATAAAAATTATGTAATTATTATCATTTAATCTGCATATTAAAAGAAATTAAAATTTTAAATTACTATAATTTGTAAAAGATCACTTTTATCATCACTTAAGATTTTCATGAAATCACTTTTAATTTTAAAATAAAAAACTAATTCTAGTAGTTTTCCAAACAGAATCATTTTAAAAATAAGACTTTAGTTTGGCAGTTTTCCTAGGTTTGTTTTGAGTTTTAAAAAATGAATTAAATTTAAATAAACTATAAAAAAAATTAAAAAAATTGTTTATTTAATATATATATTATATATATATATATATATATATATATATATATATATATATATATATATATATATATATATATATATATATATATATATATATATATATATATATATATATATATATATATATATATATATATATATATATATATATATATATATATATATATATATATATATATATATATATATATATATATATATATATATATATTAAATAAACAATTTTTTTAATTTTTTTTATAGTTTATTTAAATTTAATTCATTTTTTAAAACTCAAAACAAACCTAGGAAAAATAAGTGTTACTAAATATATTGTTTTTAGACATAAACTATAAATTTGTAAAATATTCTTCCTAACCAAAGTCTCAATGCCCTCATTATTATACATAAACTATAAATTTGTAAAATATTCTTCCTAACCAAAGTCTCAATGCCCTCATTATTATTTATTTTTCTTTTTATTCACTTATAAATACATAAATAGTGTATAAGACATAAACTTTAACTTTAAAAAATGATTTTGCCAAACCAGCCTTGTCCCTATTATTTGTACTTTTCCTTCTCATTCACTTATAAATACTCCTACTCACTTCCACTTTAATGCATCATTCATAGTAAAACAGATTTTCTACAATAACATAAGAAAAAGAAATGATACACAAAATTGTTTTGTCTCTGTTTCCCTTTCTTCTGCTCCTGTTAATTGTAAGTTATTAACTTTATATAGAATGCTTGTATATTTTGAGCTTACTTATTTCATCACTTATTTATCATAATCTACTATTTCTCATTCATCGCATTAGTTCACAATCAAATTATTCTATTTGATTTCATATAATAATATTTTCTTTGAGGCAGAAATTTTAAAAAATGCTTATATATGCAGCACAATGTGTCTAAAATGTGAATCATAATGTGTCTCCTAAAATACTTGATCTTTTTTTATCATATATACTATCCAAATTACACTCATTAATATTTGTTCAATTATATTGTAGAATGGACAAGGAAGCTCGGCTAGATATATAAAACTTGTCCGAGAGAATGTAGAAGAAAAACAAGTTGATCAACCCTACCTTGACGGATGGTTGAAAGATACTCGAGTCGAGAAAATAAAATCTACCTCAGACTCCAACCAAGTTTATCTTGATGGATGGTTGAAAGATACCAGAGCTGAGAAAGCTAAGTCCATCCCTAACTCAAACCAAATTTATCTTGATGGGTGGTTGAAAGATACCCGAGCAGAGAAAGCAAAATCCACCTCTGATTTCAACCAAGTGTACCTTGATGGATGGTTGAAAGATACCCGAGCAGAGAAAGAAAAATCCACCTCAGACTCCAACCAAGTTTATCTTGATGGATGGTTGAAAGATATCAGAGCTGAAAAAGCTAAGTCCACCCCTAACTCAAACCAGGTTTACCTTGATGGATGGTTGAAAGATACCCGAGCAGAGAAAGCAAAATCCACCTCTGATTCCAAGCAAGTTTATCTTGATGGGTGGTTGAAAGATACCAGAGCTGAGAAAGCTAAGTCCACTCCTAACTCAAACCAAGTTTACCTTGATGGGTGGTTGAAAGATACCCGAGCAGAGAAAGAAAAATCCACCTCAGACTCCAACCAAGTTTATCTTGATGGATGGTTGAAAGATATCAGAGCTGAGAAAGCTAAGTCCATCCCTAACTCAAACCAAATTTACCTTGATGGGTGGTTGAAAGATACCCGAGCAGAGAAAATAAAATCCACCTCTGATTTCAACCAAGTTTCCCTTGATGGATGGTTGAAAGATACCCGAGCAGAGAAAGCAAAATCCACCTCAGACTCCAACCAAGTTTATCTTGATGGATGGTTGAAAGATATCAGAGCTGAAAAAGTTAAGTCCACCCCTAACTCAAACCAGGTTTACCTTGATGGATGGTTGAAAGATACCCGAGCAGAGAAAGAAAAATCCACCTCTGATTCCAAGCAAGTTTATCTTGATGGATGGTTGAAAGATACCAGAGCTGAGAAAGCTAAGTCCACCCCTAACTCAAACCAAGTTTACCTTGATGGGTGGTTGAAAGATACACGAGCAGAGAAAGAAAAATCCACTTTAGACTCCAATCAAGTTTATCTTGATGGATGGTTGAAAGATACGAGAGCTGACAAAGCTAAGTCTACCCCTAACTCAAACCAAGTTTACCTTGATGGGTGGTTGAAAGATACTCGAGCAGATAAAGCAAAATCCACCTCTGATTCTAACCAAGTTTATCTTGATGGGTGGTTGAAAGATATTAGAACTGAGAAAACAAAGTCCATTTCTAACTCCAACCAAGTTTACCTTGATGGATGGTTGAAAGATACCCGAGCAGAGAAAATAAAATCCACCTCCGACTCCAACAAAGTTTACCTTGATGGATGGTTGAAAGATACCCGAGCAGATAAAGCAAAATCTATTTCTGAATCCAACCAAGTTTACCTTGATGGATGGTTGAAAGATACCCAAGCTGCAAAATCTACCCCTGACTCCAACCAAGTTTACCTCGATGGATGGTTGAAAGATACCCGAACAGCAAAAATAAAATCCAACTCTGACTCCAACCAAGTTTACCTTGATGGATGGTTGAAAGATACCCGAGCAGAGAAAGCAAAATCTACCTCTGAATCCAACCATGTTTACCTTGATGGATGGTTGAAAGATACCCAAGCTGCAAAATCTACCCCTGACTCCAACCAAGTTTACCTTGATGGATGGTTGAAAGATACTCGAGCAGAGAAAACAAAATCCACTTCTGACTCCAACCAAGTTTACCTTGATGGATGGTTGAAAGATACCCGAACAGAGAAAGAAAAATCTACCTCTGAATCCAACCAAGTTTACCTTGATGGATGGTTGAAAGATACCCAAGCTGCAAAATATACCCCTGACTCCAACCAAGTTTACCTTGATGGATGGTTGAAAGATACTCGAGCAGGGAAAACAAAATCCAAGTCTGACTCCAAACAAGTTTATCTTGATGGTTGGTTGAAAGATACCCGAGTTGAGAAAATAAAATCTCCATCTGCATCCAACCAAGTTTACCTTGATGGATGGCTGAAAGATATCCAAGCTGGAAAAACAAAATCCTCTTCTGACTCCAACCAAATTTACCTTGATGGATGGTTGAGAGATATCTGAATCGAGAAAGGTAAATCCACCTCTGATTTCAAACAGGTTTACATTGATGGATGGTTAAAAGATACTCGAAACCAGTTCACATCTTTGTTGATCAATGTCTACGTCGTTCCCAAAACTTCTCATATTGTTCCTATGTTTTATAATTTCTATGAGTTGTAAGCTCTTATTTCTATGTACTAAGTAAGGTATTGTTTATGTACTAAATAAGTTATTGTTTCTATGAATTAGATGTTTGTTATTTAAAATAAACCTTAATTCAATTTGATAAATATTGAGTTGGTGTTTCTTTAGTTTTTCAAACTTTCGAGGTGATGTTATGTTTTACTAATTCATTGTGTTTAGGCTTAAAATAAATAAGATATAATGCTATCCAACTCTCAAATATTTGAGACGAGGAGATGTCAATGCTCTTAAAATCCTATAATACAATTATTTTAGTATTATATAGTAAGTGTGATTTATGTGTTCAAATTTTATTTTGTAAATAATCTGTGTTTATCATTACTTAATCATAAAAATAACGGTGAAATAATAATTTCTATATGGATACTTTTTTTATTGAAAGATTAAGTGTGTGTTTGGAAATTCGGTCACTACCTCACGTTTAAGCCTATATGCACCGCCCTTTCCTGAAGCAAAAATGGTAGTTTTTGTCGAACGTGTAGTGTGAGCATGGTTTTGGATAAATGGAAAACATAATTCTATGCAAAAATCTATTGGTTGAAATTGAAGCCAAAACGATTAATTTATAATCGCTTATTTGAGCAATCTCCATTAACCTCACTTTAACCTCGTCTTACACTGAATTAAAACACCAAAAAGGATAACAATAAAAATGGGTATACCATAGAATAAAGGATTATATGTATTAACAATATAATGTGTCAAACTCTACTTTATACAAATCCAAGTGAACCACATTAATCGTGTTAGGCTAGTCATACTAGCTTGTCTAGACTTTCTGGCCATATGCTATGTTGCCTTATCTACTAGGGGAATAGATTTCTTACCTTTACTATTTAGTAACTTTCATAACTTTGGTGTATTTTTTATGTGAGAGAGAGAGAGAGAGAGAGAGAGAGAGAGAGAGAGAGAGAGAGAGAGAGAGAGAGAGAGAGTATGGTGGCTATGAGGGAGATAGAGAGAAAGGTACCAAAGACACCAAAACTCAAGAGTAGCTAATTCCTTCACATCCACTATACTCTCTGATATGATCCTTTGCTTCACCTACTCCACGTACTCCTTGGATTGATTACATGCCACTTTAAAAAATTATCTCTTTTGCTTAACGCTTTCAATAGTGGTATCATTTGTTAGGGGTTTTTATTGCCCATATCAGGTCAAATGACAATGTTTATGTAATGAAAATGTCTTGTTCCAATGATCAAATCACCTCAGTATTCAATTTTTGTGCTTAAATAGCAACTTGATTAGCTCACAAAGACATTTTGCTTAACCTAAATGGCGCATAATATTTCAAAAATTATTTCACATCTTTGTTTTCCTAAGGTTTTGTCAAGCGTGGCTGAAATTATGGCACACACAATATCAGAAGTCAAGACTGATGTCTCAACAACACAAAATTTCACAACAAATGTTACAACATCTGCTGACAGAAAAACAGACTTGCTAAAAACAAAAAGATTATGCAGAAAAGTAAATTGTAAAAACTTATAGAACACAATCAATTATTAACCTAGTTCGGTGGAACCCGCCTACTCTGGGAGCTACCAAGCTAGGAAGGAAACCCACTATCAGTAGTATCAATTTGAAGCTAAACAATCCGAGTTTACACTTCTCACTTAATCCCTACCCAATACAATTTCTACCTAAGAACCTCCTAGATATGAGAATCCCTTTCAATCCCAACCACTGCAGTGATATCAAACAATCATAATCCCAGTGAATGTCTTAAGAAATCAAAAAGAATATTACACATCCAATACAAAAATGCTCAGTTTGCTTAAAAGCTTCAATAAAAACAATACTTAACTTTTTGCTTAAAAGCTTAGAGGAGAACAATAACTTGATAAACAAGTAACAATCAGTCAACTCAAATACATCAAAAGATACAAGAGGACATACAAAAAAAACACTGAGAAAATAAGGAACTCTCAAACCCTAAACCCTTATTATTCACATGGTTTTATAATAAAACTATGCTACTTAAAAAACTAGGTCTTGGACGTCTCCTTATATAGACTTCTGATGTTGGGCTTGGACTCTTCAATCAAATATAATCTTCAACTCTAAATCCCTGTAGAATCTTCTCCAAAAATAGAAACAAAAAACAAATCTTTCAAACATTTCTCAAAGATCCTTTTTATGAAACAAATCAAATCTGCAATTGTTCCTAAAAATCCTAGATTTCATGTGTATGTTATGAGTACTAGAAACCTCCAAAATCTCATATTTTACAATCAAATATTCAAGGATATTAACCAGATGTACTGTCATGATGTTCTGTTGCAACATGTTACAACATCTGATTGAATATCTGTCAAATAAGTACCAGCAGACTTTACTATACCAGTTGGTCAAGATGTTATGACATCTTGTTCAACATTAGACTACAATACATGTTTTTCCCAATGAAACGTGTTTTTCTAAATTTTTTGTCAACTACTTATTTTGCCAAAATTGTTGCCAACCATAAAATTACAAACCTAACAATCTCCCCCTTTGGAAAATTTTGGCTAAAACAACATTTGCACAAAATATGGAGAGTGGAATAAAACCATAAACACAAGTTACATGAAACCATGTAAACTCTAAAAACAAAACACAACTAAACATGGGAGCGTTGTACAGTGTATCCTTATAATCTATCGACAAATTTTGGGGTCTTCCAATATTTAATAAACTTTCGATCAGAACGTGAGAGACCTATGTATTCTCGCACTATTCAATCGAAAGAAAATTAAATAGGGGCAGATGTCATACCCCAAATTTGCCATACTTGTTCCTAATTTTTTTATTCCTATTGCTAAAAATTAATTTACTTTATAAAATATTATTCATATAGTTATGGGAGTTTAGAATTTATAAAGAGGGGTTTATCTTATAAAGAAATCAATGAGCCTTTCTAAATCAGAAAAGTTCATGTAAGTTTTTTTGAGCCAGTTGCATTTTTGAATATGATTTTGTTCAGGTTTCAGCCCGTTTTAAATATTGAAAGGAACTACACTATTTTGAAAAATCATGGGCCTTTCTAAATCAGAAATGGTCCATGTAATTTTTTAGTCCACTCAAATATTAAAAAGGGGGTGTATAAAGCAATTCATTTTCTTGTTAAAGCCCAATAAATTGAAATGGTATGGCACAATTTAGTTTTTGGTTTTCATTTAAAAAAAATGTTTTGTTTAAATTATAACATTTTATTATTATTATTATTATTATTATTATTATTATTATTATTATTATTATTATTATTATTATTATTAACATTATTATTAACCTATTATTAATCTTACTATTTTTATTATAATAAAAACATAAGCAGATTTGTGCATTAAGTTTCCAGAGACAATATCAAACTAATATAGAAACTAAATTAATACAAATCAAAACCTAATACAAACATAATCAGACAAAATCAAGTTCATAATCAATATAAATCTAAAATTGTATTAACTTTACAGACATATTAAAAAGTTTCTTAAATCTATGAATCCTAAAAACTCTATAAAAACCTAAGAATAAATCAGGAGGAAGAATACTCTGATTCTGAACAAAAGTCTAATATATCATCAGATCCACACATCTCTGAGTCATCAATGTTCTGAAGCAATTGCAGCATGGAAGATTCTAAGTTCTGAGGCGTTACTTTTCAATTAAGACAGCATCATATGCAACGACTTCATTCAGATAAGAATCTTCTCAATATGGAAATAGCATTGAATATCCATTATCACGCTTTATGTTGGACAAGATTTCCACGCCTATATAAACAAGCTAAGAGGACAAATCGTTTACGATTTTGACACACTACTGCATATACCTCTCAAACGCTGCAATCTTTCATATTCTCATATAAGCTTAAATTGTGTAAAATATCACAGTTGTGATACAGTTTTTGTAAGGAAAAACAATAGTACACAGTATATTCTTTTATTTTGATTAAGCTAGTTTTCCTTGAGATAAACCGGGTTGTGGTTGTACTCAAGAAGACTTTGACAGTTGTCAAAGTAGTGTTGTAATCAGTTTTGATTAGTGAATTAAGTCCTCGTTGGAGAGAGGCGAAATCACCTTGGCGGGTGGACTGGAGTAGTTTGAGATCAAATGAACCAGGATAAAAATGTCGTGTCTACTGCTTTGATTTTAAGTTTCAATTCAACCCCCCCCCCCCCCTCTTCTTGTGTTTTTCACTTCTTCAATTGGCATCAGAGCGCCTGGTTATGAGTTCATACACTTAAGCGTGTCAGTACAAGATCCAAGCTTTAGAAAAACACTATAGTGGGACCAAGCCAAAACATCAGCAATGATTATCATGAGGGAAATGACAGAATCAGCGGCAAACCTCCAGTCTTTGATGGAGAAAATTTTGACTACTGGAAAGACAGAATTGAGAGTTTCTTTCTAGCTTATGATGCTAATCTATGGGACATGGTAATTGATGGATCCTATGGATGAAAGAGGTCAGAAGATAGACAGAAAAAGGATGTCTGACCAGCAAAAACGTGATTTCAGAAACCATCATAAAGCCAGAACAATACTTCTCAGTGCCATCTCATACTCAGAATATGAGAAAATCTCAAACAGAGAGACAGCCAAAAACATGTTTGACTCTGTGAGAATGACGCATGAAGGCAACATACAAGTCAAAGAAACCAAGGCCCTTGCGCTTATTCAGAAATATGAAGCATTCAAGATGGAAGACAGTGAATCCATAGAAGCAATATTCTCAAGATTCCAGATTCTTGTTGGTGGGCTAAAAGTTCTTGACAAAGGATATTCTACTGCTGATAGCGTAAAGAAGATCATCATAAGTCTACCCAAGC